ACAGAAGGATGCAATTCATTGGGCCCTGGATAATCAGTTTCAAATTAGGTGTTCCTTCACAATATGCCAATCAAGCTGCAATCCTGCTCCTTCAGTTGGTATTTCACCTTTGCCAGATCACAGATCCTTTTTTCGGGAGAAGACCTGAGCCAAAGCAGGAATTCAGCACTTTTGCCCTTCCCTGGTCATCTGTTATCATTTTGCCATCTTCATCAAGTAACTGAACCACTATCATTTTTTTCTGTCTTTCATGATGCGTGTATCTGAAGGTTTTTTGTTGCTTTTGGCATCCCTTGCTAAGCTCAGCTCATTTTCAGCTTCGTTATTTAAGTAAAATAAATTTGTGAATCAGATCACTCTCTAGGGTATCAAAAAATCTTTACAATGCAAACAAAACATTTACCTAGGCAAAGTTATCAATATAAAATGTTCTTATGCAAGTTAGTCTAATTCCATTTGAAAATTTTACAATTCGGAATTTGTTGGAAAACCCACATCACTGGCAGGGGCCCTCCAGTAGAGTTGGGCTATAATTCTTGAAAGTTGATTTACAATTCTTGAAAGTAAAAAGGTTGATTTAAAGCTTTCAAATAAGGTGGCATTAGTGGCAATCAGGAAATTCTGCCTGTCAAGATTTCAGTAACGGATCCCTTCACTTTCTGGTGGTAAGAATTCAGTGATGAGATTGTTGGGTTTATTTAGGGTTTCCAGTTAAAATCTGGCTGATGCATTTTTGCTGCAAGAATTGCCTAACGAAGTCTGTCACGTCACACATTCTTGAGAGAAGGGAGTGTCTCCTTCTGAAGAAACTCAAAACTCTAGGACTATAAATTAGGGACACAGCTTGAATCTAAAGAACAAGGGCTAATACTGTACAATAAAATTAAGAAGTGTAAAAAAGTAATTGAAAACCCAGGAGTTATCTCACTATTATTACTATTAAAACTAGTGATTCCCTGTTTGTATGTATAGAACCATTCACCAAAATCTAGGGGATTAAAAAATACTACAGAATTGTGGAGTGGAGGGAGAAAAGCTTTAGGCAAAATTACTGGTAGAACCTCAAAGTTTGAATACTTTCTCAACTATAAACAGAAATGATTCTTTGCGATAAGTTACCAGCTCCTAAGAATTCAAAATAGTTTCCAAATCTTGCTGAAAGCCTTGTTTTCCCCAAACGTTCCAGAGTTTGTTTATTTATTTATTAAAACATTTTTATGCCGCCCCATTTGCCGAAGCCTCGGGGCGGCTTACAACAATAAATAAAAGTAATTATAATATAAATTACAATAAATATAAACATTAAAAATCCAAAGTTCCATGTGTACAGTTTTAGTATGTATTCATATATCGCAGTCTTCCCAAATCTGGTACACTGGACAACAGCTCCTGTAACCTGTGATAATTAGAAATACTAGAAGAGGCTGATGGAAGTTGTAGTCCAACACTGGAAGATAACCTTGTGGGAGAAATCTGAAGCATGCTTTTGTTTAGGGTTTGCACTGCAAAGTGCTAGCCATGTTTAGAAAACTGGGGGTTGGCTTCAGCAGCAGGCCCTCCAAGGGCCAAATTCCATTCTGGAAAGCTTTTGGAGGCAGTGTGCCAGTGGCAGTGGGGCCAAAAGCAGAAAGGGTGAGGCATATTTTAACTTGAAGTCCTTTCTGCCAGTATTTAAACCTTAGGAGGACATGTCAACCTTTTAGATTTGGGAAAGGTGCACAAAAGCCTGCTTCCAGTCTTGAATACTTGAGTTCCAGCTACTTCTTATGGAAGGGTCAGGCTGAGAGATGGTCAAGCTCAATGAGCTTCCTGGCTGAGCAGAGGAATTGCACCTGGATCTCTCTGATTTTAGGGGAAGTAGAGTATGGTCTGAAGGCACATGAGGCTAAGCAGGGCTAGGGCTAGCCTGAGCTTGAAGGGGAGACCACCTGGGAACCGCATGTAGCCACCCTGAGTTCCACAAAAGGAAAAAGGTGGGATACAAATATAATAAATAAAATCAGCAACAACTGTGGTTGGTTGAAAGACAGTTAAGACTACTCTGGTAGATCTCTGGACAACTTGTAGTAGACCAGCAAGGCTTTCTGACTCCCCAACAAAAAACACAAAACGCTCCCTGTCCTTCCTAAATCAGGCTGCTGAAATGAAGAAATCCTGGAGGAAAACAGGAATAGAAGTGTGTGTGAAAGGACTTGTGCATGAATGCCAGTTATTATTATTATTATTGCATTATATTTGTATTCCACCTTTTTCTTCTTGCAAGGAACCCAAGATGACTTACATGGTTCTCTTCCTCTCCGTTTTATCCTTACAACAGCCCTGTGAGGTAGGTTAGGCAGAGAGTTAGTGACTGGCCCATAGTCTCCCAGGGAGCTCCGTGGCCAAGTGCATACAAGAGCTCAGATCTCCCAAGTCCCAGTTCAACACTCTTGCCTCTACACCAGTGGTGGCAAACCTATGGCACGCGTGCTACAGTGGGCCCACAGAGCCCTCTCTGTTGGCACGTGGGCCAAGTCACTCCAGCATTGCCCCAGCAGCCAAGCATTGGACAACAGAGCACACAGGGGCCATATGGATGCTCGGAAAGGAGTAGCGGTGCCAGGGAAAGATCACATTAATTGTGCAAAAGCACGCCAAATGCAAGCTTTTACCTTTCAATAAAAAGCTGTCTGAAAACTCTGTTATTGTGTTTTTCTTTTAAGACAAAAGATGTTAATGTATGAGTTGTTTCTTCTAAACTAAAACCTCAGTATTCAGGTTTTATTGCAGTGTTGGCACTTTGTGATAAGTAAGTAGGTTTTGAGTTGCAGTGTGGGCACTCGGTCTCCAAAAGGTCCGCCATCACTGCTCTACACCATTATGGGCACAGAAAACAAATTCCTTGCGTCCAGAGGCCCCCTTTTCCCAAAGAGGCTGTAAAACCTCTTTCAGTGCAAGGATGAGATTTGGAAAAGGACTGTATTCCAATGGTAGATGGGGGCAAAGGGGGCTGTGATAAATATTTAGGTGATGAAGCAAATAATTTAAAACGATACCCACCTATTGCAGCTTAAATCTCTTGGTACCCCTAACTAAGCCTTAGAAGAGGCATTACGGCTGTTTAGAATGGGGAAGGAACTGTACAAAAGCTAGAAAACCAAACAACTGGTGGTTAAAGGAAAGGACTGGGGTCAGAGGAAGGTGAATGGACTGCAGAAAGCTGCAGTTGGTCCTTGGGCTTGAGACTCTGCTCCTCTGTGCTGCATTCATCTTCCAGAGCCGCTGTTTTGTACCTGACTTCAGCTTGGGAGTTTTAGGAAAATTAAGTTGATCACATCAGATTAGAGTTGGCGATTCCCTAGAGTACTAAGCTAACCTATCTTACTTAAGAATAAGGCTGCTACACACTACACTGCCACAACTCTGAGAAACTTCTGAGGGTGGGAAGGAGAGGGAGAAGATAAGCCTCTTGCAGGATCAGTGCCAACCTTTTGCCATTTGCATGCCAAAAGCCATCCATAGAACGAGAGTAGCAATTATACATTCTTTAAAATGACACATACATGCGTACTCCTCCTCCTCAACTACACCTCCCTCCCTCTCTCTCTCTCTCTCTCTCTCTCTCTCTCTCTCTCTCTCTCTCTCTCTCTCTCTGTCAGCAACACAGAGGAAGAAAACTAGAATAGCAATGTCCTTTCTCTGGTGGACCTCCACCATGTGGATTTTTGGGAAAGCAGGCCCACACGCAAAGCTGGCTTCAGACATTTTTCTGTTTAGGAGGAGGACAAGATGCCCCTCCCAAACCAACCTTTTCCACAGTTCCAAAAAAGGGAAAAAAGAGGCTAGGCTAGCAGTTAACATTTATTTCAACACCAGAGACAAGGTGTAGGCAAGGCTGAGGACGCCCACAGCACTCTTCTCCAACACCCTGTCTCTCCCTGTGCCAGCACCAGCATTTGCCACCTGAGACGGCTGCCTCAGAGGCCAGCATTATCACCTGCTAACAATCCAGCCACTGTTTTGCTTGCCTCCCAGTGCATACCTGTGCCCTGGTACAATTTCCTTCCTCCCTGGTAGCCTCCACCAGATACACTCCACCTGTGAAACAGGACTCACCTGTCTGCTGCTTGCCACCAGCCCTGGGTCCAAAGCAAAGTGTAGCCCCTTCTCCAAGGCCACATCCACCCAAAAGCATTTCAACTTCCCAGAATGAGGGTGTTTTCCAAGTTTAATGGAATGGCTTTAGACATGGTGCATCCCCAGAGAGATCATTTCAAGGTTTAATGGAATAGTGGGCACGCTCCCTGGAGCCCTCTAGATCTTTAGACCACAGCTCACATCAGCCTCAGCCATCATGGCCAATGGTCAGGAATGCTGGGCGTTGTAGTCCAAAACAGCTGGATAAGCCACCGGGGTGTCTATGCCTCTTCTAGGACGAACTGAAGCCCTATTGGGGTTTTGGACTACAACTCCCACCTTATCCCAGCCAACATGGCTGACGGTGAGGAACGCTCAGTTTGCCCAAAACAGCTGGAGGGTGCACTAGACCGTCTCTGTCGGCTGCAGGCGGAAAAGGGGCCCTTTACTCCAGGGGGCACATCTTTGTTTCTGTTAAAAGTGGGGCCAGCATCGCCCAGGCACGTCCCCGACTCTCCCGTGTCAGGCTGCGGTCCAAGGAGTCACTTTATCCACTCGCAAGAGACTGCTCCAGTCCAGGACGAAGAGCCGCGGCTGCCTCTCCGTCCCTTTCCACGCCTGATCCGGTGAACTCGGGGTCAGTTTGCAAGATGCTGATCCCTACCCCGCCTTCCTTCCCCCACACCCGCACCTCCTCTTCTGCTCGGATGGGGAATCCTCTTTTGCCCTGAATGCGGCGAAGGCCAAGTTTTCGCCCACTTCTATCCTCGCCCCAGTCCCTTTCCCGTCCTGCGAGATCGCAGCAACAAGTCGAATCGGAACTGCGCCTCCCGCGCGGTTCTGCAGGCCTCCCCTTCGCTCAGCACCAACCCATCCACACTTACCCGCAGCTGGAGGGGGCCGAGAAAGAAAGGAAAAGCGAAAGGGGAGGCCACCGCCACCCACCAGTCGCCTGCCTCTCTGGGGATGCAGCGTCGCCAGAGGGAAAATTCGGGCTCCTTCTCCTTTTACTCCACGCCCTGCCTCCCAAGCCCCCGCCCCCGCCGTCCTGAAAAGAAACCAGCCCTCCTTGCAACGGGACGGGGCTAGCCTCGCACTGCCCTCTGCAGGAGTAGGATGTTGCCCGGAGACCGCACCAATCTAAGATCGTGCGGTGCCTTCTAGCCAAGGAGTTGCACCTTTTGACACACACCAGCTGCGGCACGTGTGTATAAATCTGTTCCTCCGAGATTAGCAGCGCTTCAGGAACCAGATGAAATAGGCACGGTCCATGAATGCGTATGGCAAAATACATCCGTGAGTCTTTAGACTTTAGTTGCTTTTATTAGCATAAACATGCGTGTTCCTAAATAAACACTGCGGCAAGAAATTATCCAGAAAGCTAGGATCTGCCATCTGCAGGCCAAGGGGTTTCCTTCACGGAAAGTACCTCTGCCCAATCATCTGCTCTCCCAAGTCCCCTAGGGGATTTTCAGGGGGTTGAAGAAGCTCCAAAGCAGGTGAGGGGCAGAAAGCCTGCTTCTGACAGTTCCAGGTGCCTAAATAGGGGTCTGACCCTTTGATTTCAGATAACATACGTGCCATAGGAAGAGGGATCATCTCCGAAGAAACATTCTCACCCTTCAGTTGGATACAGTGGAATATCTAATATGATGCTTTTCACCTGCAGCTCTGTGTGCGGGGGGGGGGGGGATGCATGTACATTAACAGCGTTTAAATAAAATTAATCAAGGCACCATTTTTGTCCCTCATAAGTCTTCAAACGATTACTGTAAATAGCTCTGTTTAAGTTTTTGGACTCCCCCTCCCCTTTGGGAAGTTGTAAACGTAAGTTTGCACAGGACTATCTTTGATGAAATGTACAGCAATGGATTCACAGGTTTCAACAGTATCATAAAGTTCTTGGAACTGTACAAGGCCTGAAACATATGAATACATGAAAGATGTCTAGTGAAAAGAGTGGGTAGTTTTAACTTTTTTTTTAAGGCAGGTGAGATGCAACAATGAAGGTAGAAACTTGAGAGTCTGGCCCTGACAGAAGACTAGAAAAAAGACAGTGGTCCACCAAATGAAAGTTGCTACCAGGATCCAGAAGGAAGAAGCATCAGTTTCATGTGCTATTTTCAATAACAGATTTTAAGTCTCTTCACACCAGCTCAAATTAAAGCAAAATGTGTGAATCAACACCATTCTGCCTTTGTTGTATAAATAATAGCAGCAGAAGTGCATTACTATTCAAGGTTGATCTTGATGTCATATCTTATCAGGGATACCAGTATACACAACAGTCACTTTGCCCTCTAATTAGTATGTCTAAGACTGCTAGAAGAGGTGTACTCAAATAAGAAGGTGATCAAGGAAAATAAACACAAGCTATTCTAAAATTATTAGAAGCTATTTATTATTTTGTTTTCTCAGCTGCCCTGAGGGAAGCTTCTATTTCTTCAAACACTGGCACAAGTCCTGTATAGTTGTTAGTCTCTATGGAGTCTAATTTCTCCTGATATTCCACTGGCAAGCCATTCTGCTTTGCACCCATACAGATGACCTGTGGGAACAGAAAGCGAATGTGATTTTAAAAGGCTGTCACTTGATTTTAAGTATTTATATTATTCTTAGAAAAACAGGCTGGCATATGCACCCACCCACACCATTTGATTTCTAAATAATGGATGAATGGAAGCTGATTGTATTATTATTATTATTATTAATTATTATTAGAACATTTCTATGCCGCCCCTTGCCGAAGCCTTGGGGCGGCTTACAACACAATAAAATACAATAAAATACAAAAATAACAATATAAAATTAAAATTAACAATATAAAATAAATATAAAATATAAAAGAAGTATGAACTGACTCAGTTGAGAAGATGAGCAAGCTATGCGTAAAATAGCTTTCAGAGACTGATGGTAAATTCCCTGCATAGTCATGCTGTGAGGCTCTTAGAAAAGGATATGGCAGAAGCTTTCTTAAGCTGCATTCGCCTAGTTTTGCTAATTCCTCTCCTCTACTACATTTAAAGCCTTTCCTGACTCCAAGAAAGTGGTTTCATGGTCCAGAGGCCTGTAATATAGAGGGAGGCAGGAAAGTCAAATGGTATGCGCACATACACTTGGGTTACAGAATCACACACCGGAGCAGCATTTTGATTCTTAGGAAGCAGCCAAAAGAAGTGGTACTGATTACAGTCCGACATGAACTCATTCTATAGAGATGGGTGTTAAAGGCACCATTATTTAAATTACAAATTTGAAAACCTAATGTCAAACAAGAGAAAGTCTCAGTTGTCCTATTAACAGGTGAATTACTCCTGAGAAAAAGCGCTGGAAACTAAGTTTTTACGTACATTTATGCAGAATACTAGTACCATTCTGTTACTTTAATCTGCAAAAACTTAATAACATAAATAGAAGAACCAGGAAATATAACAGTTTTTGTTCAAGTAACAGTCTTAGCAACATGCATTAGCTGAAAATGACTATTATTTTATGGCTTGCCTTGCAATTAAGCGTCTGCAAAACCATTCCAGATATGCAGTAACATTACCTTAAGAGGTTTCACAGGTTATGCAGGTTTGGGTTGTTTTATGTTTCAAACATACATGCAGACAGTGAGTTAATTATCACTGATGGATAAGCTCCAAAAGAGCTGGGATGCCAGATTCTCACCCCTATTCTCATGGGTAAGCCAGAAACAGAGAAGGGGAGGAGATGTTGCTAAATGTGCTATTTACTTTGCTGCATACTGGGCCCTGCTTGAAACTAAAAATTCCACTATTCTATGATGATGATGATGATTCAGGTGTAGGGAGGGACCAACTGACTTAGCTAGAAAAATACATTGGAGCTCCCAACCATATAACACAGTCTTCACATATTCCCCTAATCTCACTAATTCCCTACAAGGCCTGCAAGGTCATATAGAAGCAGAGCAGCTCATCATTACTAATCCTACTACATCTTCAGCTAGGTGTTGGATGAAAATATGAATTACAGATAGGGCCAGTTCCAGGCTTAAAATCTAAGCCTTAGCTTAAAGAACTCTTTAATGCTCCTCTTGCAGGAGGAGCATTATGAATTCTGTCCATGATGCTACAGTGTGAGGTGAGGCTGAAGTTGAATCTGAGATCCAGGCTGAAAAAGAGCCCGTCACCAGATCCCTGTAAGTCACACTCTCAGATGAAATCTCATCTTCATTTATGATCAAGGTTAAACCACAGGCACACAGGAAGTTGCTTTATAAAGTTGCTTTATGCTTTATATCAGACCACTGGTCCATTTGGCTCAGTCCTGTCAATTATTGTCAAGCATTGCTGCTTCAGGGTTTCCAGGCAAGGCCTTTTCCAGCTCTACCTGGGATCGAACCTAAGACTTTCTTATGCAAACCAGCTGCTTTGTCCACTTAGCTATGGTCCTTCCCTATCAAGGGATGGGACTACTGCCAAGCCAGCAGCCCAACATGATGCAAGCTGCTGGTATGAGTCAGCAGGCCTGACCCATCTTTGCTTGCCAGCAGAAGATGAGAAACAATGACATGGCCAGAAAAAGCAATGTGCCAAGCAGCTGTTCATAGGTGTAACCATGCAAGTACACTCCTATACACTAGGTATCCAACTAGCTAAACTATTTCGCCTTCTTGCATGGTGCATAAAAGTAAGAAAGACTAGGTGACTTAGGACCACCCCCCATAAAAGACAGGTACTATACATGGTGGAGGTTTCTATACATTCTTTGAATAAATAACCCTGCTTAGCAAAACATAAAGTACAGAGCCAAAGCCAAAATTACTTCTGAAGTAACTGTGAAGGCAAGTTCTTCATTGCTTGAGATCACAGTTAACAGGAGTAGCTTTATATAATTTTAGGTATATGTAAGATAACTCTGACACTTTTTCTCTCTCTGTCTCTGTCTCTCGCTATCTTCCCCTCACCCCCAATAATTATGTCAAAGTTCTCACTAACTTCAGCTAGCTGCAGTAGTATTTTTATTTAAAACATTTTTATCTGCTCCCTGGTTTACATCATTTAAAATATAAACAACCAACCATCATAACTGCAATAAAAACAAGAGCAAAATTACAATAATAAAATATAACCAATAACAATAAAACAATTAAAACTAATAACAATGTAATAAATAAATAATCCACAGTGCCACAGGATATATAAAACATAATATAAATTAATAATAATTAATAATGGGAAAATTAAAAGGTTTTAATGTGGCACCAAAAGTACAGGGCGTTGACACCAGGCACACCTCTCTGAGAAGTTGGTTCCACAAACGGGATGCCACAGCCTTCATCTAGAGGAGAATGGGTTTTGTTTAACTTTAATGTATAAGCAGCAACTCTTTTCTTTGGTTCTTTCTCACAGAACTTATAATAGGCTACAACTTTTCACAGATAAAGGAATCCATTCCCCTCATCAGCTCATCATCATTCCAGAATCACAAAGGAATTGTACCTTTTTGTACTGTGGGGAAGGAAGACCATAGACAAAATCATCCATTTGGTAACTTCGACACTGAATTACTTTCCCTTCTTGAGTCTGAACGGCAACTTCTATGGGGACATAAATACCATCTTCAACTCCCTCTTGTCTGAAACATTACAAGGAATATCTTGTAGAGCAAATCATTAACATGTAAGGAAATGAAGTAAATTAATTCTTTAAGGCAGAGTTCTATGCATACTGAGAAAGAAAAAAGTACATCTCCCAGCATTCCCCAGCCAGGCATGGGACTTGTAGGATCTTTTCTGTTTCAGGATCCATTGGACTGAGTCCTAAGGAACTCTTCATTTAGCAAGTTACTAAGCAATACCAGACTGCAAATCAGTTTCCCCAAACTGGAGCCCCGGAATGGTTTTGTATGTATTTCTATACTGCTCAATAGCTGAAGCTCTCTGGGTGGCTGACAACAACACATAACATACAATAAAAATACAAATGACAGTAAAATCATCATAGCAATTACACTACAAAATTTAAAAGCCAAATTTAAAAACCAAATGAAAACAAACCCTTTCTGGTAGTGCTTAAAATTCAGAATGTCAGCAATGTCCAAATCTGTGCAGCTTGGGCTGCACACAGATAACAGTGTTTGAACTGCAGGCACAAAATGTGGTACTCAGCTGAGAACAGGAACACAGACTAAAGACATCAAGTTATATGGCCTACTATAGGAAATTCCTAGAGGATCTCTTGCTAAGACTCTTAAGGCCCTACAAATTCCATCACTGCCTGTTTGAATAGGGTTGGGAATAGCATCATGTCTAAGGCAGCCTTCCCCAGCCTAGCACTGTCCAGATGTGTAGCGCTACCCTCCCAGCATCCCTAAGGATGATAGGAATTGTGATCTAACACAACTGGAAGGCACTAATTACATAATGCCCGCACAGTCCCAATGAAACAGAACCCTACCTCACACACACAACTGAGTTCACATGTCATTCATTCCAAGAAGTGAACCACAAAATAGGGTTCATTATCACCAACCCTTAACCAATATTTTTGCCTACAGATGTTTCACTTCCCTTTGTGTTGCTTCCAGCCCAGCCAAAAACAACATACTGAGTTATCTGCTATCATACACCCCAGCATATATTCATGATCTGTGCTATGTGTATACATGTCCTAGGACAGGGATACAGAACCTCAGCCCAGTGGCCCAAATCCAGACTAGAAATTCAGTTCCCCAAAAAGCTGCCTTCCCTGGCCCTGCCCCTTTCCCCAGTCAGCAACTGTTTGGTGATTTCCTAGCTTAGCTTTTGTGCTGTTTTTTCCATTCTAAAAGTGTGAATGGAGCCTCTAAGGCAGTTACTGCTAAAATACGTTTATATTTTTTGTCCTTTCCCGTTTGTCTTTGACTCTGCCCACCCTGGAGTGTGGCCCCTGACAGCTCATCTAAAATACGAGGTCCCACACTCCTACCTTAGGCCACTTCTCAGAGTATGGGCTCAGAAATAGCAGCAGGTTTACAAGTACATACCTGCAGCTAAATTGGCAATATTATACTTCTGTACTTACCACAGTATCCCATCCCCTCATCCTCTTGGGTTTTCTGTTCTAACTGCTTCTACTATACAGTCTGGCTGTCTTAGCACAAGAAAGCCTTACCATGTGCCAGACAAGGTTGGCAGCTCTAAACCTGTACAGAAGGAAGCTTCTGTTTAACAAGATATTCATGTTTACCTTGAATATCCTGCTCTCCTGCTACTGCTGTTTATTGAGCTGGCATTTGGAAGTATCTTTACAAGGCAATCCTATACATACTTGATGCTGGATCCAGATTTATGCTGGATCAACGAAGCTGATGGATGTAGATTTCCCTATTCCCGCTTTATAACGGCAGCCCCACCAATCCTCTGAAAATAGAGAGAGTCAGAAGACCTTGCTGAACGGGGTGAGCTGTGGTTCAGGGAGAGGGAGGAATCCCACAAAATTGAGGGGAAGTCCTTCCACAAGGAGAGCCCTTGTTTGCACTGCAGCCAACCCTTACTTAGGAGTAAATCTTATTTTAGACTGGAGGTTACCTCTGAGTAAACATGTATAGACTTAGACTGCAAAGTTCCTAAAATTTCCCTTTCTCTATGGTCTTTCACCAACTGCTGCTGATGCTAGAATTAATGATGAAACCCAAATCTGATTAAATCAGGCTCTGCAAATTAGACTGGTGTTTCTACTGAAAAAGACCAAGTTCTGGGATTTAGTAATTAGTGTATTGAACAAAAAAATGTGGGGTTTTTTACTTTATAAAAGTCATAACAATTTTGCACCAGCAGTCTATTTAACCAATTTCATTTCATGTGTTCAACTTATCACCTCACATTAGTGACATGATGCTTCCTATGCAGAAATAGCTTGATATTCATGCTATTTGGGAATGGCGTTGGGAAAAGTATCAGCACCGTACAACAGCTTTTCCAGAACAAAATATTAACATTTGTGGTTCATTAGTAAATTGAGAGATATAGAACTGCAAGTCACCCACCTATCCAGAGAACATAAATCATTAGAGCTCATTTTCCATACTACTCCCCACACTTCATCACCAGGAGTATAAACAATTGTCGCAGTACTTCCATGCCACTGAGAGCTTGGTTTGCCTTGATGAGAGCCAAAAGCAAGTTTATAATCCTGTGAATTAAACCGGGCAAACAATAATTCATCATTTATATGGTTCTAGTTATAACATCATGTAAATCATTGCAACGAAGTTGGCAAGTTGGCAGAGGGTTAGCAGAACAGGATAAAGAAAAGTTACCTGATTCATCATATGCCTAATTTAAAACTGAGGTCACAAATAGGCTTCAAAATGAGCTAAGAACAAGGAAGAAAACAAACAGTAGCTGAGATGAGCCAAATTTTCAAGATCTGAAACCTAATAATAGACCCATATTTTGAATGTTGGCAATATCAGAGTGGCTATTTGGTTCTTCTGTTGTTGAAATAGTTGGTTTTTGTGCACTATACAAAAACTATGCCTTGTTGACGATTCTCAGTGTACAAATAATCACATGAACGAACTCAACAGAAAGAAAAGATGATTGTATAATGCATTTCCTGTTTAGAGTAGTTACACTTAAGGAGACAGGTTTCTTTGCTGTATAGAAAAAATAAGGTCAAATGTAGTACCAACCAGCAAGTGAGCAAGGCTAAGAAAAACCACAGACGGGTTTCTTAACATTATCCTCTCTCGCAGTAAGTTACTACCATAGGCAAAATAAAGGAAGTGTTCATTCTTGCAGCTTTGCTCTTCCAAGTCTCCACTTGATCTGCTACAGCTCATGATGGTTTCCACCTCCTGAGGGAAACCCTATTAAAGAAAGCAGCAGAGAGATGTTGCTCATTAGAAAGGGGATTTGATAGCAAACATTGGGTGGCACTGATGTTCCCATATACCAAAGCATTTTCAAAGGAACATATATTAATTTTCCTTCCCCTCTGGTTCTGCTGCTCCTATATAGGCTTGGTTTCAGATAACATTAAGATGTTACAGTGAAACTGTAGGTGGGATTGTGAAGGGCAGAGGCAACTTTCCTAGGTCTGACTTCCTCAAGATGGTATCCTCCAGATGTTTTGCACTCCAACTCACAGCATTCCTCACCAATGTTCAAGCTGACTGGGGAGGATGGGAGCTGAAGTCCAAAATATATGGATGAGCCCAGACTGAGAAAGGCCCCAGGTTTGGGAATCTACCACACACATGCATAATTATGCTGAAGTAAGACTGATTGTGTTAAACAGAGTTAATCCTTGGGAAGTGTGCATTGCACAGATGCAGAACTCAGGCCCAGGGGCCAAATCGAGCCTTTCTGAGGTCCCAGTTGGGTCCCTTAGAGGGCCATACCACCTTTCCCCAATCACGGTTTGGTGATTCTGTACATCCACATCCCACACCCCACAATTCTAAAAAGTTGAAACGCCTCTACCACATCTTGGTTATCAGCAGTTGGTACTTTATGCTAAAATAAGCTGGTATTTTTGGCCCTGCCCCTGCTGCCTTTGGTCCCACCCTCTTTAACCTTCAGCCTCACCTGCCACCAGGATGCAACCCCTGAAAGCTTGTCTTAAGTGTAACTTGGCCCTCAAGCTGAAGGAAGTTCTGTGCCACTGATGTACAGGCTTATAGCCACAAATGACCAGAGACAAGGAACTTAGCCCCATGTATCTTGCTGCCTCAAGCCAGGCAGCACTGCTGCTCTGGCCACCCAGGGAGGTGGGTGGCAGAAATGTTGGGGAAAAATCCAAAATGGAAAATTTCCCAATGTTGTATTTTTCCATTGAAAATTTGCCACACCATGTATATCTGTGTTTATCCATAATTATCTGGGTAACTGACCTGCCAACAATCCTATTAAATGGGTTAAACATAGGATATGGTGTTGTTCTTAGGCAAGCACTGACGACCCCCAATGCTCAGTTGCCCATGGAGGAAATGAAAAATAGGGTACCTTAGCCCTGTCCTGTGGCTGGCTCCAGGCTACTTCTGGACCAGACTTATACATGGCTTATTTGCCCCCTATGGCTAACATTATTCAATACCAATGGAAACTGTGACTACTAGTTCTCTGAGAAAAGTGAAGTGTCTCCTTTCTTCTCCTGGGTGCAGGAAATTAGAAGTGTTTGCATAAGGTTTGTTAGCTATCCAGCACTCATGTTTACTAAGTCATAATGTCAAAACACGAGATGACTAGTGTGTGGCATCACTACAATGAACACACTGAGCCCTCTTGAGAGCATACCCTGAAAGTGTCAGAGAAACCAAGAGCTATGCTGTCAGGAGGCAGACTCCTTTGCTAGGCTGGTCTCATAGCAGAGTCACCCAAGGGAGAATGGTCAAAGTGAAGACACCAGACTAGGATGCAGTCACCATCTTCAGGAGTAACAATCACATCAGCAGTCATAATACCAAAACACCAGAAAACTAGCAGGTGGCATCACTATATGGAAAAACTGGTGGTAAATGTAAATATTGTGGGAAGAAGTATGCTCATAATGCAAGATGAATGAAGAAGTATTTAATAACATGTATGTGTCTCGAAAGACATACACAGGACACTACTATAAAGAAGTAGTGGAACTCATTATTTGGAGCACTGGAAATTTTTCCAGTTCTATTTTTTCCAGAAACCACATCACAGGCACCACATACCTGTTCAACTGGCCTAACTACTTGGCCAGCTGCTCCCTCAGATCCTTGGCCAGTTGGCCAGTTGCTCCTGCCTTGTGTCCCAACCCTGTGGCTTCCATGGTAAGAAAAAGCAGAAGCTCATGGTGCACCCAGCAGGTTGATCCGGAGTGTCTGCCAGTTGCTGTCCTGTTGCAGCAAATGTCACCACAGGAAAATGGCTGGTGAAGTTCTCCAGAGCAACCACTCCAGGCAACTGCTAGCTCTCCTGGCTGCCACCTAATGCTGGAGCACCTGCCTACAAATGGTAGGGCTTGCCCTGGTAGTGCATCTTTGTTAAGAATTGGAAGGATGGTGCTAGGATCTGCCTCATGTAGACTGAAGGGCCTGCTCAATGAAGGTGCCATCTCTTCCCCCTAAAGCAGTGCAAGGAAATGTTTTACAGAAAACAATGTCAAAAAGAGACAGTCCTTTCATTGGTTCAAAACTGGGAAAGGAGTACAGCATTGTCACCCAGCCTATTTAACTTATATACAGAAAGGCCGAGCTAGAAGAATCACAAGTTGGAATTAAGATTGGCAAAAGAAATATCAACAACCTCAGATATGCAGATGATGCCACTCTCATGGCTGAAAGTGAAGAGGAATTAAAGAGCCTCTTGATGCAGGTGAAAGAGGAGAATGCAAAAGTTGGCTTGAACCTCAACATTAAGAAAACTAAGATTGTGGCATCTGATCCTATCACTTCCTGGCAAATAGATATGGAAGAAATGGAAATAAAATTTCCATTTAATGGAAAATAAAAGAATTTATTTTCTTCACCAGAGATGGTGACTGCAGCCAAGAAATTAAAAGATGCTTGCTCCTTGGGAGGAAAGCTATGGCAAATCTAGACAGCATACTAAAAAGCAGAGACATCTCTCTGCCAACAAAAGTTTGTATAGTCAAAGCTATTGTTTTCCCAGTTGTAATGTACAGCTGTGAGAGTTGGGCCATAAGGAAGACTGAGCACCAAAGAATTGAGGCCTTTGAATTGTGGTGTTGGAGAAGACTCCAGAGAGTCCCTTGGGCTGCAAAAAAATCAAATCAGTCAATCCTAAAGGAAATCAACCCTGACTATTCTTTAGAAGGACAAATACTGAAGGTGAAGCTCAAATACTTTGGCCACCTAATGGGAAGGAAGGATTAACTGGAGAAGACCCTGGGAATAATTGAAGGCAAAAGAAGAGGGGGACAGCAGGGGTTGAGGTGGCTGGATGGGGGTGGGGGGGTGGACTCCAGGGCATGGTGGAGGACAGGAAAACCTGGAGGAATGTTGTCCATGGGGTCATGAAGAGTTGGACACAACTTTGTGATTAAACAACAGCAACAAAACTACAGATGTGGGACTATGCAATACTAGGTTTAACGTTATTCTGCACAGGACGGTTCTAGAAGAGTTATACTTCTAGAAGCATGTACACCCCAACAAAGAAGTCACTGTCGCTGGGCAACTTATTATTTGTGGAAATGTATGTCATACAACACTTTCAACTACAAATTACTCACAGGCACCCAGAGCCTCAGTTAGTGTGGTTAACCCACATGTCAGGAGTGCTAGGATCATCCCTACAGACTGCACAACAGATTGTCTGCTTTGCTGCAAAAGGAGAGGATTACTTGGACAAGCAGCAGTCTCCAACATTTCTAGGGACAGTTCAGCAGGCATTCACACTAAGAGGAGAAGAGTCTGCTGTTGTGTAGACAAGCCTGAAGAACTGTGTCCAAGTTCAGCTCTAAGACAGTTTGATTTCAGATGCCATGGTGGGTATGTATAGCCAATATTTACATTTCATCCTCACAGCTAAGAAGAAGGCACATTAAACTAAGCTTTCATTCAAGAGGATATATGCAAAAGTGGTTAATAAGCTGCTGTTCTCCACTAGTAATATGATCCTAATTGAATGTTTATACCTCAAGCACTTTTAAATCCACTCTGATGGAATCACACATTTGTGGGTGGGCTAGTAATTGAGCAGCCTTCTCCAGGCTAAGGCCCTTCAGATGTCGTTAAAATTCAACCCCCATCAGATGCTGTAGCATGGCCAATGATCAGGAATGTGAGAGATGTAACCTGACACACTTGAGGGGACCCAGCTATGGAAAGCTGCATTCAAGAATTATCAGCAAACTGCACTTCCCAGTGTTCTTCTGAAATCAGACATAAAATTTAAACTGTCTCATTTAGAGACACCCTAGATGCAGCAGTCCACCTTTCTCTGGCTCTTTTGGAACCACACAGTTATGAAAAATACATGCAGGGAGAAGTGGAGAGTGCGAGTCCCACACTGTAGATAGGAAAGAGTATCAAATGCCCTTTACTTTCAAGGAATGTAGCAGGAATCCTGCTGGAGTAAAACAAAGCCCATCCAGTCCAACATCCTACTTCCTAACCCAGGAGAAATCCATAAGCAGGGCAGGAGACATGGCTGAATGTGTCAGGATTAACCGAACGGAAATTCTAATATATCATCACTTAGCTTGGATTCGAGGCACACACACAAATAACAGGTCCGGTCTTCCGCAACCCGAGGCTTTCCAGATGTATCAGACTACAACTCCCAGAATCCTCGAGCGCAACACACCTGGAAAGCACCGGGTTGGGGAAGGCTGCAGCAGCCCATCTTCACTGTTATTAGGGCTTACCTTCTGCTTCAGACTCTCCCGCGGCCCAGCCTACAACCAGCTCTTGATTCAGAGGGAGAGCTCCCTTTCAAACCCCCCAGTTTAGTTTCACCTTGCCAAAGATAGCATGCCTGCCCCGCGAGTCTTCGTCCTTCCTCTGGGCCCAAGCCCCGCCACAAGGGCCAAGCGAGCCCCCACCTCGAAGCCCTCACTTGACCTGACCTAATTTGTCTTCCCCGGGTTCTCGCTTCGGCGGCGCTCGACACCCAAGCACAGCGAGCAGCGTTCGCGACGGTGCTATCCATTGGCCGAGCGTGTCTCGGCCTCCTCAGCTCGACGCTTCTGATTGGTTCCAAGCGTTCGGAGTGTCCCGCTTATCCCCACCCGCCCCCGCCTCTCTCGGGTCTAGGAAGAGAATCGGGTGAAGATGCTTTGGGGTTTTTCTGGCTCGCGTGAGCGCATTTGGTGGCCCCGGTGTCTCCTTGGACTTGGTGCGTTCAAGCCAGGGAAGGCTCAGCGTTAGGAAGGCAGCCTGCAGCGTACCGTGTACGTTTTTCATCGTACAGTGGTTTCCAAAGCTGTGGTACACTAGGCCTGGGCTATGGGGCTAAAGCCTGGAACCCCACAGGCTAGGGACCTTCCAAAAGACCACCCAGAGTGTGGCAGCTTATGAGGGAAAAGGAAATAAACTCCATTTTATGCTTGTAATAGTGTTCCAGCAAGATTAGACGGGGGAAAGGCCTACAACTCCCAGCATTTCCTCGTCTTGGAGATGTAGGCCTCCCCCCCCCCCCGTCCTTTCATAAAATGGTGTATTACATTATTTATTTATTTAAAACATTTCTATGCCGCCCCCATCGCAACAAAGCCTCGGGGCGACTAGTGCAGAACTGCTCACTCTTAGAATATGAGGTGGCAAAAACAGTTGTTTTTCTAACATAGAAGGAATGACAATGCAGTTGTGTAGCACATCATGGCAGTGGGGAATGTACTGTATCGAATTATTTGTAAATATTTGTATTGCATTTTATATTTTTAACTGCATGATTTTGTAGTCTTGTGTTTGTAGTCTGCCCAGAGATTGTTGGTTATCGAGTGGATTAAAAATAATAAATAATTAGCTGTGTGTTTCAGAACTGAAGTAAAACACATGGTGGTGTAGAGGGCCTTCCATAAAGACCAAACTCTAGAATTATCTGGCTCTTTGCTGTTCAAAATCACTCTGACTGTAAGGAAGGTAAAATTAATATATCCCTATTACTGTACTTATAGGACATTGAAAAAATAGCTTTTCTAAAGCCACTTAGAATGTAATCTTGTATGTGTTTAGTGTTGGAAAAGCTGATTCCTCCTCTGGTCTTACAAATACAGGGTAAAATAGAAAAATTGTTTGTATGTAGCTTTATGAGAACTGGTCCTAGAAAAGAAAGAACAAGAAGGAACCAGGCCAAGGATGACTGTTTGGTGAGAGAATGAGAAAGTTGTCAGAGGATGAGGTAAACTATAAAAGCCTTGCCCTAAACTATATGGATGAGGTAAAAGCCTTGTGCTGTACAGTTCTAAGGCGTACTGCCTTATGTGTATGATATGTCCACAGCCTTGCAAGCTATATTCTTAATAAATATTGCTGACTTTTCTTTAATCTATTTTGGAATGTTTCATGCAAGATCTAACAAACAGAAGAAATCGTAGAATCATACAGTTGGAAGCGCCCTAGCAGGCCATTAGGTCCAGCCACCAGCTCAGGGCAAGACTCAAGTCACCCAGGCAGATTTCAATCCAGTCCAAGTCTCTTAACTTCCAAAATTAGGCAGGATCAGACACTTCAGGCTATATGGAAGCTGATTTTGACTAGAGCATGATGGAGATTATAGCATTTTTTTTCTGGCCAAAATCACATAGCTTGGCACCCTTAAGATGTAATCCTATAATTGCATATCAGGGACTAAATCTTACTGTACTCAGGCATACTTCAGAATAGACAGGTAGAGGATTGCTCTCTTACAGGGCAATGGTCAGAAAAAGTCCCATTGAGTTAAATGGTGCTTATTCCACAGGACAGTGGATATATTGTACATTTTCCAGGCAGTAAGCTCCACTGAACACTATATGAATTACTTCTGATTAAGCATGCATTGCTAGTGGGTTCACTGAAGGACTGAACTGAGGATTTTTAGATATGTAGAACATTGTCTGGCTCTGAGAGAGAGTTCTATAAGTTCTCTGTAATGTGAAATGTAAGTGTATTTTGAAGATATGCAGACAGTATCTGCCCCCCACCTCACATCTTATTCTACAGGGTGCGGCAGAAATACCTCTCATATTTTACACTTTCACCTATGTGTTGCTAATGAACTTATGCAAGTGCCAATGATGTCTTCATTTAGCTAATGACTTCCCATTTTTTTCATATATCCACATCTAGCAATATGGTTTGGACTGGTACACAGTGTGCTTTTGCTGTAGAAACATTTTTGAGGAATGGTGAATCTGTAATTGCAACACAGAGAACTTTTCAAACTCATTACATGTTAGCTCGGAATGCTGTTCCAGATAGAAAATACTGCTATGGGTTGCAAATTTCAGATCCACAGGTTCAGCACTTAAAAGAAAGCCATCTGGAAGACCTCGAAGCGCTCGAACTCCAGAAAGTGTTCAAGCTGTGAGACTTTCTGTTATTCAGTCTTCTACACGTTCAGCTTGTAAACATGCTTCTGCCTTGGGATTGTCTGATTGAACAGTCAGAAGAATTCTACACACTGATCTGAAGTTCCATCCATACAATTAATGATTGCTCAGAAACTGCTCGAAAGCGACTGGAAAGTTCTCTTGTCATGCTGTGACAATATCCTTCAAAATTGTTATTTATTTTATATTGTTATTTTTATATTGTTATTTTTGTATTTTACTTCTTGTTGTGAGCCGCCCCGAGGCTTCGGCGAATGGGGCGGCATAGAAATGTTTTAATAAATAAAATAAATAAATAAAAAATGTTCCTGCAAATATTTTTCTCACAAGTGGTGAAGCTCACTTTCATCTCTCAGGCTTCATGAATAAACACAATTTTCGTTATTGGGCAGACAATAACCCTAGACAGCTTCATGAAAGACCTCTATACAGTGAATGAGTGACTGTATGGTGCGCAGTTTCAAACTTAGGTGTGTGGGGACCCTATTTTTTTCAGGAGAGAAACCACTCAGTTACAGTAACATCTGACCGGTGTGTGGAGATGCTGCAGACATTTCTGGAACCAAAAGTAAACGACCTTCGCAATCGGGACGCGTGGTTTCAGCAAGATGGAGCCACCGCGCACACAGCAAGAAGATCAATGGAAGCTCTAAGGGAAATGTTTCCAGGACATTTTATTTCCTTACGTGGTGACATTGAATGGCCTGCACGCTTGCCCGATTTCAACCCCTGTGATGTTTTTCCTCTGGGGTTACTTGAAAGCAGAGGTCTACAAACATCGACCGGGTACCATTGAAGAATTAAAGGATGCTATTCGTCAAAAGATTGCAAAAATACTGCCTGGAATGACTCTTCGCATGATGGAAAACTTCAGAAATCGTCTACAACAGTGTATAGTGAATTGAGGCCAACATTCGGAGGATGTAATTTTTAAAACCAAATGAATAAAAACTGTAACCTTTTGTTTAAACAATAATGAAATTAATTGTTAATGAACGTTGTTTCTTTTTCCTTTTTTTAAGCTTTAAAATGTTGGAGGTATTTCTGCCTCACCCTGTATATATTTGAAATATACTGGTTGAAGGATATATTGGAACTTTGGTGCTCCACTGATTAGAAAGTAGTGAGACACAAGTGTTTGAGAGGCTTTGCTTGTTTGTATCCCTCTTGCAAACATGCAAAATCTGTTCCACAATGATTTTGTCAATCTTGCCTTGTTAGTGTATGTCTGCCATTTTTCTTGATTCTCTTGAAAACTGGTATGTGTATGGGGGTGGGGAATCAAGGTAGGAGTTTGCACTTATAATGTAGCATACATAATATATGTACCAATTTTCATTTGATATCTAAATTGCAGAGTAGGTTACATTTTTCCTGGTCACATTAGGAATGATTATATGGGTTGGGAGGAGATGCAGAAGGGCAGCCTGATTCTGAGTTATACTATTGATCCATCTATTGTGGACTCTTATCAAGCAATGGCTCTCTGACACCTGAGGTAAAACCTATTTTCAACTCTACTACTTGAGATCTTTTCAATGGGAGATGATGGGGATTGATTCTATAGACAAGCAGATGATACAAGGGTGTTGATCCTCAGTTCTGTGGTCCAAATTACCCTGCCAGTGATCTTAATTCACCTGAGATTCCCCAGGAGGCCGTGTCTCTTTCCATTCCTGATTTTCTAAAGCACTGTTTGTTTGGTGGTTTCCAGGCTTTTGCCTACATCTTTTCCCATTTGAAAAGACTGAAATGTCTCCCCAAAGTGTTAGTTAATGATAAGAAAAGCTTTAAGTTAAACTTTTACCCTGCTCTTTCGCCTCAAAAGTGTGCATGAATTTGAATTTGCCCCCCCCCCCCCCCGCCAGGCTAAAAGAAGTTGAATGCAAGACACATTTTCACTGAGCTATCCCTTTCCTAAAGTTATGCAATAGCTTTTGTTTGGCTATCAGGGACATGTTATACCACAATAATACTTCTACATCTTTCTTGTGCCCCTTGAAAATGGGTGCTGCTGAGGTTTGAAACTAAATGATGAACATACAATCTAACAATCTGAAATCTCAAGGCAGATATCCTATTGCAATATATGATATACTCTTCTTATCTCCTTGAAAATGGACTTATGGTTAAATTGGTATTTAAACCTTATACACAGCATTGTATCCTGAATATGTGTACCAGCTTTTCATTCTTAGTCTTCAATGTCAATATCAACCTAAATATTAAATGAAGTGATCATGTTAGGAACAAAATGAAATGTTAACATCAGTTAAAATCTATGATGATGATGATGATGATGATGATGGTGATTATGTGTATTTTTAAACTCAACCTTCATCTAAAGAAACCAGGGCAATAAATAATAATGGAAGAACCAAAATACATTCAAATATATTACAGTAAAGCATTACATAAAAACAGAGAGAGATGCAAGAAAAGGAGCTTAAATTTACATTACATTTCAACATGCCCAGGCAAATAAGTACTGTACTTTTTAATCTGGTGCCAACATTAT